GGTTACACCTTGGTTAAACCTGGGTAACACCTGGGTTCTACCTGGGTTCTACCTTGGTTACATCTGGGTTCTACCTTGGTAACACCTGGGTTCTACCTTGGTAACACCTGGGTTCTACCTTGGTAACACCTGGGTTCTACCTTGGTTACACCTTGGTTACACCTTGGTTACACCTGGGTAACACCTGGGTTACACCTGGGTGGTCAGTTTTGAACCTACTGTTCTGTTCCTGCTCCATGGCGGCCTTCAGCTGCTCAGGGATTCCCATCCCTGGAATCAAGGCCATGCTGTTTGGCTCTACATCGTCTGAAAACAAACACAGAACCATCAGAACCATCAGAACCATCAGAACCAGCTCAAACACAAACATCCTCTCTGCTTCAGGTCCTTCGTTAAGGCTCACCGTACTCCACACCGTCCTCTGACATGCCAGGTAGCAGGTTCAGGTTGTAACGATCCCTCATCTTGTCTCCAGGTCGATTCCTGGTCCAGAATTTACTGCAGAACAAAACCGAAGGGTTTAGGTGTAAACGCAGCAGGTTCTGAACCATGTGCTCAGGTCTGGACTCTGTGTGTACCTGGTGTGGTCATTGGAACCAGAACACAAGATGTGACCGAGCGGGTGCCAGGCCAGACTCCAGATCATCCCCTCATGGGCCATCTCCATGCCCCCCACCTCCTTCTCCACACTAAGACCAAAGAGCAGAGTTAGTATCTGACACAGAGCAGGACACCTCCAGGTTCTGCCTCCTGATCTTACCCAACGTTCCAGAACAGCAGTGATCCGTCAGAACCTCCACTGGCAAACAGACCCTCGTGGACAGGATGCCAAGCAACAGCTAATGATCAGACAAGAGTCAAAGACAGCTGAGAGATGAGCCATCAGCTAACTCTTCCATCAACATCAGTTTAATCCAAACCAGAACAGAACCAGAACCAGGACAGACCACCACCTGTCTCTTCACGTGCACTCACCTGTGGCCTCCTTCTTATGTCCTCTGAACACCTGCAGCTCTTCTTTCAGGTTCCGGATGTCAAACAGTTTGCAGAGGTGGTCCCGTGACGCCGTCAGCAGCCAGTTCCCGTTCAGGTTCCACTTCACCTCCATCACGGTGTTCTTGTGGGCGTGGCTGAGCACACAGGTGTCAGAGGTAAGTCTGAAGCCTGCTGATGACAGCTCTGTTGTGTCTGTGTTAAACTTACAGCGTGGCCAGACTCTGTCCGGTCTTTGGGTCCCAGAACTTGATGGGCTGCTGGCTGTCTTTGCTGCCTGACACCACCAGACCTTTGGTTGGATGCCAGTCGACACACTTCACATCAGCACCATGACCTAAACAACAACACGTCTGATTCAGAAACACTGCTTTACTTTTGTGTGTCGGATGGTTACACATCTCCTCCTGTGGTCTGTTGTGGCTCAGATGGGGTACCTCTGAGGATCCTCTCCTCGTGGCAGCGTAGAAAGTCCCAGATCCGGACGGTCCCATCATCTGAGCAGGTGGCAAACTTGTTATCAGTTGGAGAGAAGCTGCAGAGGAAGAGGAGAGTCAAACATCTAAACTGACCAATCAGAAACCCTGATCATGGACCAGACCAGACCACAGGGCCAAGCTCTGAACCAAACTACACAATACATGGACTTTATTGTTTCTGACTGAAGCTGCTGATGAAAACACCTCATTAGAAAGATTTGAAACGCCCACATGTAGACGTGTAACACTGTTAAACGCTGTTAGGGGGCAGTGTTGGACAGGATCTAAAGGAAACACAACAGCTGCTTTGTGTAGTGATGTTGGAGCTGAAAGGTTTGTTTGGCTTCAGTTAGAGGTCATGTTTTATTGTAAGAGTCCCACTCTCTGGTTCAGAAGACCTACTTATATTTTCTTTACAGAGATGTCTCAGGACATTAAACTTTATTTAATAAACATATTAACTGTAAAATAAAGACTGTAAAAATACTGTAGGCTGTTTAGTTTTTATCATTTTTTAACTAAAAGTTTAAAAATATATTTTAACACGGACGGAGCCATTTTATTTGCACACAAAGCATTCTGGGTAAATGATGACGTGGATAGGTCCTCGGTGCGAGGCTGCTAGCGAGCTATATCCACCCTGAAGGTTAATCTTGGACAATATCTGATGATCGACTCTTTTAAATGAAACCAGAGAGCGTTGACAGAGAGGATGGAGGACAACAGGTTAGCTGGTTTGTCGCACAGATTTAAACACAGAATGTGAGGTTTAATGTCTCACTAACTTCATTCTTCTTTACTTTAGTATTTCTGTCTTCTGGCCCTCAGTGGTTCTGCTGGAGGACTGATGTTCCTCTCAGACAATAACATTTAAACTCAGACTTCTTGTATCTGAGCTCAGTTTTCTCCTGCAAACAGGAAGTGAAGGCTCTTTGGAACTTGTCATATCTCCATAAATCCCAGTAGAACCATCAAACAGAACTTGTGGTACCATCAGAACCTTTTGTTGCTCATGGGTCAATAAGTTCTTTGATTCGGCCCATAGTTTTCATAAAGACGGTTTGTTTGAGGCTTACTTTTTACTGTTCCTACCTAAAGTGCTGCCCCTCTTCCTCCGGCTGCTTCAAAGAAAGTGGGAGTTACCATGGCAACCAGCAACTTCTGGTGATTCATTTTACCCAGCTGCTTCTTCTCCAACATGACAAAATGATGGAAAACTGATGGATGATGACACATTAAAACCCTTCAATACTTCTGCTGAGTGTTTTTATGGCTCCGCCCACTGGGACTGGACTGTTCTCTGTGTGTGTGTTAGTGTGGTGTGTGTCTGTCACAGGTGGTCTTGTGTACACGATATGTCCTGAAGGAAACAATATATTTATTTATAAACAGGCAAAGTGTCTCCATTAGGGTGGTACTCAGTCTGATTAGATTTGGGCATAAAGGGTCAAAGGTCGAGGTCATTTATGATGATTGGATATAAAACTGGCATTTTTTCCTAATTCCTCAACAGAACAAATAAAACACCTGGTTAAATGTTATGGTAAATATAAAAGAGGAAGTTGATATAGTTACATCCTAGAATATTTAAGTCCAAAAAATAGAAAAAAGTAACTGCATGCCCAGTGCTTTCAGTGCTGATGACCCTGGGGCAGGCAGAGACCTACGAGTCAATGCTTTGGCATCAAGGTCTACCTGGTTTAGTTTTGTCTTCTTATTGCTCCGGTTGACAAATTTTCTACTGTTTACCTGCACTAAAGCCTAACTTTTCTGGAGTTATCTGCACTAAAACCTAAGTTTTCTGGAGTTATCTGCAGTAAAACCATAGTTTTCTGGAGTTATGT